CTTCAATTTATTTAAACGTTATCACATCCTCAAAAAAAAAATTTGCGTAGACTTTAAAATTGAATAATTGAGGAAAAGTTTGTGTTGCTTGTATGCAAAAATAATGATAAAATTATACTATCTTTGTTAATTACAATAGAAATAGAAAATATATACAAAAAATCATTATCTGTTATTTAACGCAGCAATACCTACTTGTCTCATTTTTAATAACTAATAAAAATAAAACTATTTTAGGTTGATTCGTAATTCAACCACAACGTTAAAATGTCAGGAGGTTTAGACGTATTAGCACTCAAAGAAGATGACGTTACTAAAATGTTGGCTGCTGGCACTCATCTCGGTGCTGAAAACGTCAACTTTCAGATGGAACAGTACGTTTATAAGAAAAGAGTTGATGGCAAGTATTCTACTCTTTAAATATGTAACTTATATTTCTCAATATATGTTTTTCTTTTTTTTTTTTTTGCAATTATAGGTGCTGGTGTAAATGTCATCAATCTTCGTCACACCTGGGAAAAGTTATTGCTTGCAGCTCGTGCTATCGTTGCTATTGAACACCCCAGCGAAGTTTTTGTTATCAGCTGTCGTCATTCAGGTCAAAGAGCAGTTTTGAAATTTGCGGCTCATACTGGTGCCACACCTATCGCTGGACGTTTCACGCCAGGTGCATTCACCAATCAAATTCAGGTAAAAAAAGAAAAAAAATGAATAGTTCTTTTAAGTTTTTTGTACAAATATCAAAGTGATGTAACATTTTATTCCAGAAATGATACTTGTTGGTTTCTTTGGCTTAATCTTTTCTGATTTTCTTGCAATATTGTTGGGCATTTTGACAATTCGTTGAATGCAACATAGTAATCAACTTTTGTTTTTAGGCTGCCTTCCGTGAACCACGCTTGCTGATTGTCACAGATCCATCTACTGATCATCAGCCTATTACTGAGGCGAGCTACGTAAATATTCCAGTCATTGCTTTCTGCAATACTGATTCACCACTGCGCTTCGTGGACATTGCGATTCCCTGTAATACTAAGAGTTTACATACTGTTGGTTTGATGTGGTGGCTGCTCGCCAGGGAAGTATTGCGCCTGAGAGGATCTATCCCACGTGAAACCAAGTGGGATGTTGTGGTCGATCTCTTCTTCTACAGAGATCCTGAAGAGGTCTGTGCTATCCAATTACTGTTTTTCGTTTTAAGTTTATCGTAATGATGAAAAAATAGTATCCAGAAATTAATCTGTTGGTTTTTTTTAATGGCTTAATCTTTTCTGACATAGATGGAACAAGTGTTCCTCTACCAATTTCTATGTAGTGATTGATAATGAGTTACGAAACATGTTTCTAGGCAGAAAAAGAAGAACAGGCCGCGAAAGAAATCGCGCCGGTGAAGGAATTCACGGGTCCAGTGGAGACTGCTCCAGCCCCTGAACCTGGCTGGGTGAACGATGTTGAGTCTACCGCCGTAGCCACCGAGAACTGGGCCGATGATGTAGCACCACCAGCAGCTACGGCTATTCCTGCAGCTGGCACTACGCCATCATTCCAAACCAGCGGTGATTGGGCTGCCCAGGTACAGGACACATTCACAGATTTATTTCCGGTTTATTAAATTTAATTGGTTCGCCTATTTCTTTTTTTTTTTTTAATACTTGTATAGTTCTGATTTGTATAGCATTGTTTTATATATGTATTTATATAAAATATTCATCAATACTTAAAATTATGCGTGAATTAAATAAGGAATAGTAAAATTCATAAATTAAACGAACTTGTAGTGAAGTTCGATTTCAATTATATTCATCCGGACGAGACAATGCATAATTATTTTGTATTGCTACATTGAATGTTGCTTTCCTTATAGAAAACATTCGACACAAATGTATCTTTGTTATTCATTAAATGTCAATCAAAACAGAACGTTTGTGTCGACTGTCAAAAAAAAAAAAAAGAAAAGTGAGTTACCGATATCATACGATTATTAACCAATATTATCTATTTAGCCTCCAGAGGAATGGTCAACGCCCGTAGCAACTGCTGCTGCTCAAAGCTGGGGAGGTGCAACCAGCGAAAAGTGGTAATTTTGTGCCTGCTAATATCTCAAGGACAATGCACTTTGTACAGTGTCTGTAACAAGACCCTTTGAAACAAAAATTGTATACGCTTCTTTTTCTTTATTTAATTCCCTACCAGCGTCCTGCATCCTGTATAATAATTATTGTGATGCGAGCAACTGAATTTTTTACTTTTATCGTTTATTCGACGATTCGACGTGAAACAATATAATGATACATTAGCTCTGATAGTGCACTTAAAATGTATTCCGAAATCGCGTACACGAAATGTACAGTACAATCTTCTGCATCAGAAAAAATTTTTTCCTCTAGCAAAATTCTTGACTAAATTTTTAAGTGAGAATAATTTGAGAAGCTAATGAAAGTGCACTCTATAAATCAATTAAAAAATACACAATTTTTAGCAATTCAGCAAGGGCTCTGTAATAATAAAAGTTAAGCTTTTCTGAATTCATACCTATTTTGTATGTGCGCGCGCGCATATATATATATATATATGTATATAGGGGTCCTTTATTATTATAATAAAAAGACGTTTTTAATTTTGCTAGCAATGCTTTTGATTTTATCAGCAATAATTTTTTGCATGCAGGATGATAAATGAATAGACTTATAGTTTCTATGACATTTGTCAGTTTATATATTGTGTCGTAGACATTCTTTTATAGATGCAATCAATTTAATTATGCAAACTTATTACACAAAAAATATAAATGTGAATATGTATATATTATAATTATCCATTTATTTGTAAACTTTGAAATCGAAAAAAATATGATCCATAAATGTAACTTTGGAGTTGCATTTTAAAATGCGCTCTTCAAAAGCAATTTTACTTGATATATATAACGGGTGCTTTCCATTTGATGACACAAGTCGATACAAGTGTCGTTCTATCTTTGTCAATCTCTAAATGTCAAGAAAGATGTGTCGACTTGTGTCATCAAATGGAAAGGACCCAACATAGGCTATGTTGATCCATTTGATGCTACAAATGCTTCGAAATATTTATAATGTCACGTGTACTATATATTTCAAATAAAATTTCCTCAGAACGTTTTGGAATATAGCTCTTGTATAAAACATTAACTAAAGTTTTACTTAAACTGATTTATGGTAACGATTGTAACGTAATTAATTTTATCTGCTTAGATATACAGTATTGTAACCAAACGAAAACAATTCTGAAATCAATGGTTACAATGGCATATGAGAGGTAGAACATAGAATACAACATGGAATTTTAGAAATCGACTATCATATTATCTAAAGTTACGGAAGTTGACTCTTCACTGCATTAATCACGTCAAATAACAGGGTGTCTCGCGAGACTCCTCTAATCTCGCAGGTGGAAGGTAGATAGGATCGAAATAAATACAAGTTTTATACCACGATTCTTGCAATATTAATCTAGATATTAATTTTCGAAATTGTACTAATGAGAGCGACGCTTCGGCTGCTCGAGGTATAGCCTGGCCAACTTTTTCGAACATGGACTGTATAACGACACATGTGAGCGGCGATGTCAGGCGTAGAGCAACGGCGTGCTTCCCCTCTTGCCTCTAACGCGCTGTCCAGCGCAGTCTGTTTGAAAAAGTGAACCGGGCTATACCTCAAGCGGCCGGAGCGTCGCTCTCCATTTGTACAATTTCAAAAATTAATATCTATATTAATATTGCAAGAATCGCTAAACGATATAGAACTTTGTATTTATTTTGATCCTATCTACCTTTCTGAAGGAGTCTTGCAGGACACCATGTATAGTCATGAGAAAAATAAATGAATTTTTTATATAATGTAATTACAGTAAGAGAGCATTAAAAATTTCAGAGAAGTTAGAATGCTAAAACAGCTATTTATTTATTTTAGTATATTTTAGTTTCATATGTATTGTCATTTTTTTTTAAATAAGTTTTTTTTATGCATTTATGTAAAAAATTCTCTATAAAGTATCATTTCATAGCAATGTTACTTCAATAACTTGTGCTTTTATTGTTTTTGAAAGCACAAGTATGTTGTCCGATTTTCTCTTTTAGTGTTCCAACCTCTCTGAGAAATTTTAATTATCATAAAAATAAAACTTTGTTCCCGTAAGATATCGGTCTGAGATATAATACTAACAAAAATAATGAGATAAATCGCAGGTTATTTCCGTATCTATCGATATTTATTTTTGAAATGTTAATGTTTGATGAACATAAGCAAGGTTGCTACAAATTTGCAATCGTAAAATTTCCTTACATTTCCCTGATTTACTGACGAAATTTTGAGATTTTTTCCTGACCTAGAATGATTCATCAACTTTGCAATTCATACTTTCCTCGGTCTTTCCAGTAATTGTACATACATGCAGGTTTTTATTTTGAGGAATCGACTTCCAAACAATAAAAAAAAAGGTTTTCAAAAAAGATTACGGCAAAGCGTAAAACCAAACCATATACACCGACTTCCTTGACGCATTTTCAAAATTCCCTGTCATTTCCCTAACTGTGGCAACCCTGGTAAGTTTACTTTATTAGGATGAAGAGCAGCTTGGATACTGTTCATTCATGTACATTCACGAAATATTAAGCTGCGTCCAAACTATCGAGCCGAGCCGCGAGTTTCGAGCTGAGCTTCGAACCGAAATTATCGAGCTGAACTTTGATTAAAATCACGTATAATATGGATCGCTTGCGACGCTCATGAAATTTAGTTAAAGCTCGACTTGATTTCAGTTCGAAGCTCTCAGCTCGAGGTTCGGCTCGATAGTCTGGACGCAGCTTTAGTATTCCTGGAAAGAATAGATATAGAGATAACCTGCGAGAAATACATAGCTTTTATACTGAAAGTACTTGTGGAAGTATCAAAAACTACAGATTAATTCGTACAAAATTAAAAAAAAAATGAAAAATAAAAATGTAATATTAATGTTACAAAATGAAATTATAAGAAATACAATGTGTTTTGTAACTGTGTATCCGGCGCCCGGTGAATGAACTTACTCACCAAAAATGCTAATTTGTGGGCATAGTGGCAGGGCGCCGGTACTCTAACGGTATTTGAGCAATTGTAGTACATATGTGTCAATTTATATGTCAGACGTTGTATCTTGTCAGGATTCATACCTAGATTATCGTAAATAACGCTGTAGGCAGTGGGTGTTACTGTTCCTTGCCGCACTTTCTGCGACACGATGAAGAAATCGTATTTAATCGGACTTGTGATCACGTCGTCAACTATTGTGCCCGGTTCCGGATTGTTATTATTTTCAAAGAAACGTGTATTCAGTCGCTTCGTGACTATTATAAATGCCATTCTGTATTTATCCGGGCCACCGTACAATCCACTGAGCCTCTTTCTTACTTGCTCGACTTCTCGATCCATAACCTGTGGAACTTGACCCTCACCGACGCCGTCGCGATAAATGACAATGCGCTCCGGTAGAGTTTTGTTTAGCGCATAGTACGCTTGTACAGATTTGCAGATGTTGTCACAGAGATCATTCGACAATTCCTCGCCCGTTTCGTGTACGTTTACCGCGCTGAAGTACTGTGTCATGCGTCTATTCAAAGTCGCTACTGTAGCACCTGCAATAGCAAATTTGATATTAACGATGTGTATGTATACATAGAAAAAAAAATTGAATTATTTTTTATTTTTAAATATAAAAAATAAAATGTTGCAAAGTATTATACCTTTATTTTTATATTTACGTTCTTATTCTTATAGAACAATTGATAACGAGATTAAGAGAATTTGACTCAATAAATCCTAAAGAGTACATTTATTGTATTAAAATATGTATTAATTAAATATTAAATTTTTATTTTAATCGATAATATTTTATTATCTGTATCTTATACATGTAAGAAAAGATCGTATTTTCGTTTCTTAATCATTTCTTTCTATATAATTATTTTTTAATAAAATTAATCCAAGAAAATCCAGAAATCGTAAAGTTAAGACATAATATAAAAAATTGACAGTTAATTAAAAATTTTTAAGAGATTCAACTTAAGAAGCTATAAAATTACATATTGTAATTTTGACATGTTTTATGTAAAAAAGCGTTGAGATTTTTATACTCACCGAAATCTTTTTTCTTCGAAGTTGTATCATGGCAAACATCAAATCCAACAATCATTAGCCCTTCTAACGGAATATCCACATACCACGGTGCCCCACCCAATTTACAACTCATTTGTATTGCTATTTTTGTTGAAATAGACTTGATGTTTTTGTGCGTCATCGTCCTTGTCAAGCAAACCTGTGATGGCACAGGCCGGTCTACACAGCACTTTTTCTTGATAGCAGAGTAGCGATCGCTGCGATTGTTTGATACCGCGCAAAATATCAATTGTGGTACTCGTTTGCTTAGAATTTGTTCTAGTTTTTCATTATATGTGCCTGGTCTATCATCACGAATATATTCATATTTTGGTTTTTCCACTTGAAATTGTATGCCTGCTGATACTTTCAATAAAGTTGTCATAAAACCCTAAAATATGATATCGAATAAAATAAAATTTTATAACTTAATCAATATTTTAATACTTTAGTTTGAAATATCGCATAATATTCAAAACATTGATTTACACAAAATCAATGTTTTCAAAATTTATTTTCTTCAATTATGTACATACAATAATAATAACAGATTATTTAAGATGAACTAAAGAGATTATTGATAAAAATTTTAGTTTGTATAAAAGTAGCGATATATCAATAAAAATACAATTAGCTGTAAGAATAAAAATATAAAGAACATAAAGATGGTTCCGAATTTTCTTATCTTTATCTTTTATATTAAAAAATAAAAAAATATTCAATTATTTTCCACATATATATGCATATGCCAAAGACAGATACATATGTATAATTATGTAATATAATTATATAGTATGCCACATTCTCTCTTTTTTGTAAAATATAATACAAAAGTATTCATACAGGAAAATGTGTATTTAAAAAATCTTATTTTTAAAATCTAAATACACTGGCCAACAAAATTAACGTAACACCTGTTTCACTCTGTAAAAATAGGCAAATTTCAAGATAGAATAATTTCGTCAAAAATTGTCGTACCGAGATGTTTTATATTATAATATATCAGAGAATAAAGCATATAAAATAATTTATTTCTTGATAAAGCACGATCTATATAAAATGCAGAATGCAGAAAGTTGAGTGAACTTCACGTCCTGCCCTTTACGTACGGTTTGCTATGTAGATCGAGCTTAACTCTAAATTTTGTAAAATAATTAAAGGAATTTATGTACAAAAATCATATAGTTTGTTCTTTTCAGCTAAATTTTTGGTACGGTTCATCTTTTTTCTCTTTTATTTTGGAAAAAAGGACAATCCAACTAATAGTTATTTTTCACACTCTGAGCGCAAAATACTAATTTTGCTCCCTATATTGCGGGAGCAAAATAGCACTTTCTCTCCCTAGGGAGAAAAATAGTACAGAGGGAGCGAAATTGCTATTTTGCTCCCTCGGGAGAGAAAGTGATATTTTGCTCCCGCAATATATGGAGCAAAAATAGTATAATTTTGCGCTCAGAGTGTGAAAAAATAGTATGTGCATCGTGGGAGCACAGGTGTTTACCGACGAGTGCGAATTGCAGCCCTCGCTTCGCTCGGGCGTCAAACGCGCACTCGTCGGAAAACGCCTATTTTGCTCCCTAGTTGCACAATGTACTATTTTGTGACTAGGGAGTAAAAGTGGTTTTTACACCCGGAGGGTGTTCGACGGCACGAGGACTGGCGAAGCCAGCCCGAGTGTACGGTCGAACACACGCGGGTGTGAAAACCTTACTCCCGAGTCGCAAACAAAATTTTTCGTACTAGGGAGCTGTGAAGGTGGGGAATGAGGTTCATGGATTGTTTTGCTGAGTGGGGAGTAATTGGGTGTTGTTTATTTACAATTCTCCGGGGTGTAAAATCGCATTTTACGCGCCCTAGTACGAAAAAGATTTTTTTTTTAAATAATGATGGTCTTTACATGATCTTAAAAGAATTTGTTTCGAAACTTAAGGCTCCTGAATACTCAGCCAAGAACTCCGTGTTGATGGGTAGCGACACCAAATTAGTCGGTGGCTAGCAAAACTGGTAGTACGCTACTGGTTATACACACAAATGTAAGCTCATGTCCGTGTGCTCATTTTCGGGTAGAAGAGGAGCGCACAGACATGGGTTCATGCTTGTGTGTGTATAGCACATCGCCATGGTAAAAGTCTGAACTAATAGGCGTGAAAAAGTGATGTTTTGACGACAAATTTTTTCTTGCGTGCCATTTCGTCAATATTTGCTTATTTGTGAAAATGTGACTTCCCTCGTACTCGTGAAAGTCCTAAAAATTGGCGGAAACTGCAGTTATCGTGAAATTTTATACGTAAAAGCGTATATTTCACTCGTTTCATCAGCTGTCAAAATGTGTGATTCTGCCCGAGTATAGGCTCACTGTACATGCCTTTTACGATTATTTACTGACTATCAGAGGAGGAAAGGACAGTTTCCGCCAATTTTCACAAGTGTTTTTGAGCGATCTCGTCTTTTAAATTTATCCAAATTGTCTTTATTAAAAAATGGGACGCAAGAAAAATTAATGTGTTTTTCTCGCCTATGACGTCACAATTCCAACATGGCCGTCGCCGGTATTCAGGAGCCTTAATTATATCATTATTTATCTTTTTTAAAATCAATTTATTTAAAACGTATTTCCGTACATCGGAAATATATCTTCCATTTTTTTCCTGAGAGATTTAATTGATGTAATTAAAATAAAACTATATATATGATATATGTGTATAATATATCTTCGAATATGTAGGGGAGATCGGGGCACCATGAGTCACAAAAATTCAAACAGTAAAAAGTATATTAAAATATAAGATTTTTTTATCTCAATTTTTTTATATATAATAATTAAGGGATAATGTATATTTTAAAATTTATTGAGCATTTTTGATAAATATTGATTTGTTTTCTAAATAAAAATCAAAAAAGAAATTTTTAGTAATGACTCAATGGTACTTTGTACCCGGGATACCATGGGTCAAGCACTTATTTACCCTCAGATGGCCTTCTTTATATTTTCTAACCATTTTTATTGTTTTCTAAAAAAAAATATAAAAGAATTTGTATTACCCAATTTAACTTTGACCAATTAACTAATTTAATTTAATTATAATCTATCCAGACAATTTTGCATAGTTTATACATAACCATATGTATAAAGAGATTTATCTAATTACATTTTTTATCATAAATATACGCGTAAAATACGATTACATAATTTTTTATACATATACGGTTCTGCAGCTACGCAACTTATTCTATACACCTATTAGTACATGACCTATGGTATCCCAATGTGTCTAATATAAAAAAACGGTGAAATATAACATCGAAATAAACAATAAACTATCTGCACTGCAGAGAAAATGTGAAAAGATGTGTAGAATCATAATCGTATGTAACTCGCAATAATCAACGTGTAAGAAATTTTGACAGATAAAATAATTACTTTTGCACCATGAGATTCTTCAACAGCATGTGTACAGAAAGATAACGAAATGGATCGCTGCCATCTAGATACATAGAATGGGCAACTAAATAACAATCATATGATACCAATTGCACTAACCTAAATATTCTGGATTTCCTTAAACAGTTAATGACTCATGGAGCCCCGGTCTTCCCTACATATATTCATATATGCATTCAGTGTTCAAAATTTGTCTATATATTTATATTTAGTAATTTATAGCAGTATTTAGTAAAAATCTGCATTACCTCAGCGCAACCTCTATCCCTTTCCGAAATCACAAAGACCCACTCCATTAATCTTGGAGAAATTACACATTTCTTATTTATCATAGCTTGCGTCCAATCACCGTGTTCGATATTGGTAAATACGTCTCCGCCGAAAAAGATTTTCTCATTAAGTAATTGCCGCGCAGGAATTTGGAGCAACTTGTCATCTAGCTGTAAGTTCCACTCGGATAATTCTTGCGCGATAGCAGGTTCCTTACAAAGCCTTTTATTAAACTTTAATAATTTTTCAATACGCTTTCCAGGGTGAAGACGTGTCTCAACAGCCAAACTTGACATAAGTTTGTAATTTTCTCTCATAGCGTCAGTCAAGCCTGCAAATAAAAAACGACTTCACATTAAAAATAATAAATTATTCATTAGGTAAAATACACAACTTCACATTTTATAGTAACAAAGAACACAATGTTTCTTTGCCATTGCATTCAAAGACAAAGTATAATATAATAAAAGAAATAATGAAAACAATAAATTTTCGAAATTATATCAATAAAACAATAGTATGACATACCTGTTGTTCGACAGAGTTCAGGCACCAAATAAACACGCTCTGCCTCTCCAGCTTGTCGATCTCTCGTTTTGGATCTCGTCACCAACATTGGATGTCCAGGATTCGAAATCCTGATATCATATTTTTTTTTATAATAGTCTACATATGTTATACTTTCGCCATTTTTCAAAGGAAATGTGCTGCTAGGAGTAGCTGAGAAATCTACGTCTTCAATGCGGTACGTATTGTTGTTATAATCGGTAAGAACTACAGTTCCGATTACAGCATTACAGAAATTTTCCTGTGCAGACACGTATATACATTTATTTATTTTCGTATATTTCCTCGTACATTATATAGTGTAAAAACTCACATGATTTCTCGTATAATTCAAATAATTCAAGTACAGTTACAACGAGGAAATTATAACAAGTTTTAACCTTCTTGAAAAAAATATTATATTTGATAAATATTCAGAAAAGGGGAGCCAACTCCGATGATCTTGACCTTGATATGTTGTTAAGATTGTGACCTTGAGTGACCTCCACCAGGTTTTAGGTGGCGGTCGCTGTCCGTTAAAAAGTTATGAACAAAAAAGTTTGGATTCTCACCATACTTTCCCCTCTCTATGATCGCATGCGCATACGTTTAACGACTCTCAATTAAGTTCAATAGTGCACGAAATTTAAAAACAAATATTAGACTTTTCACAAAAAAAGTTTAAAGAATAACGTCTTATTTCTATATTGTAAAATGTATGCAGTGGGTTTTGTCCCCTTCTACGAGGAGCCACTCCACGCTGTTAAAAATAATTTAACCAATTTTTTGGTATGAGGTAGCTCTCGCATCGCATAAAAGGTCGAAATTCATGTACAACAGTACAATTATGGAAGTTGTGCATCTTCAAGCGGGGGGGGGGGGGGGGGGGGGGGATCGTTCACCCTTAAAGCAAGGGGGGAAGTAGGGTGAGAGTCGCTTCGCGTGGAAGTCGCGCTACATAACAGAAATAAAACGTAATTTTTGAAACTTTTTGGTTTGTAACTTTTTAACGGTCAGCGATCGCCACCTAAAACTTGGTGAAGGTCACTCGGGGTCATGACCTTGACAATATATGTCAAGGTCATCGGAGGTGTGGCTCGCCGTTTCTAAATATTTACCTTATTTTTAATAGATTTTTTAAATAGTTATTTTTAATAAAAATTCAAAAGAATTCTATCAAAAGTCTAAGCAATTCTAAGACAAAATGTACAACTTACTCTGAATCTGCTTCTATCTTGATGATATAAGCTATTCAGAATATCTCCCAAGGTTTCCAATCTCATAACTTTATTTGTTATCTCGACACACATCAAAATATCTCGCTCATGTTGACGGATAGATGATACATATCCTGGCCACAATTCTAATTTGTGTTCCGGCAAGATAATCTACATTAACATAATGAAACATTATTTCGCATCGAGTTTTCTCTAAATACAATATTGCATCTGTAAATGTTACTTACTTTACTATTAGGATCAAAATAATTACGACCGATCAATTTTAGCTTTAAGTGCTCGTAACATTTTCTCATAATTATGTTAAAGAATTGAATGTAGTGGGCATCTCCAACCAACATATCACCCACAAGACGAACAGTAATTGTTATATGCTGTTCATCCGATTGTCGAGTTGAAGTAAATACCATTCGCTAAAAAAGATATTTTAATTATATTTACACACTTGAAAAGATAAACGACATATACAAGAGATGAATACTGTATTATCTATGCCTTTACTACTTACGTCAGATAATCGGCGACTTGTATACATTACAGTGCCATCAAAGATATACGCACCAATTTTCTTTTGATGTATTTTCAGTAAACCTTTACGCACCATCGTACGATCTTCTTCGGGTGAAAAATCAACACGATACTGATAAAGAGCCCAATCAGTAGCTTTAAGTACTTTGAAGTAATTTACTGTTATTACTTTGTGAGAACCAGACGTGCCTGAAAATTAAGAGTATGTATGAAAATTAAGTGCAGAATATTAAAAGAGAATAAATATCGAAAAATAAAAATGTAAAATGCCTTTGATAGCACAGGCCCACAAAAAAAAAAATGAACTTTAATGTCCATCGGCAAAACCATAGTATCCCTATGTATTTTTTCCCACTGAATCCGAATCCGGCATCCGTTTAACCCCAGCATGTCAGGTTCAAGGGCATTTGAAGGTCAAATCGAGGAAAACGGTAATAACCTATTCAAAATATCAGTCTTGTACGTTTTGGGGTTCGCTAAACCCGAATCCGCGGCATGGTTTAAAATTTAAAAAAAAATTTCATGGGAATCTTATTTTTTAACATTTGTTAGTGGAAGGAAAGAAGCGAAAGCGGAATCCACTTTATAGATCATTTGAAGACAAAAGAGTAAGGAAAAAAAGAAAATCATGAGTTTCGTGATGACTGATATTATGCCTTATATATTAGAGTATTTTTTCCATCATTTTTTCCCGCACACTCTTAACTTGTTGCAAATGTTAAAAAATAAGATTCCTATGAAATTTTTTTTTAAATTTTAAACCATGCCGCGGATTCGGGTTTAGCGAACCCCAAAACGTACAAGACTGATATTTTGAATAGGTTATTACCGTTTTCCTCGATTTGACCTTCAAATGCCCTTGAACCTGACGTGCTGGGGTTAAACGGATGCCGGATTCGGATTCAGCGGGAAAAAATACATAGGGATACTATGGTTTTGCCGATGGACATTAAAGTTCATTTTTTTTTGTGGGCCTGTGTAGTTAATACAAGATGATTATGTGTAATATTTTTATTCAATATAACAATATAATAAATATTTTAACACTCAAAACAAATGAACGTTTGTTTCACTTGTTTAGATCTCTATTAATTTAAAAGATAAAAAAATATGATCACTTATACGGAAACACTTTGTGTATACATGTTATAACTATTATATGTATATTATTGCTCACCTTTCTTATTCGTTACATGACTTGGTTTTGTCACAAAAATATCTGCGGGTAAGATTCTTTTGCCGCGAGCTGCACCTCTACCAGATGCCACAACAGCTACAGGACCGGCGGCACCAGCATCACCACTGCCACCAGCTACACGAAAAAGTTCCTTATTTTTAATATCGAAAAAAAGACTTGTCTACAATGACATATTTTCTAAAATATTTCGATTATAAAAATATAAAACAATAAACATAAATAACATGTAAAATTTATGTTATACAAAGCATGTGTGCTTATTTCATTTATGTATTATAAAAAATGTACAAAGCAATGTCTTTCTATTATATAAAGAAAGATCTATACTCTGTTCAACGAGAGAATCTCGCATAGGACGAAAATTCGCCCATTTCGCGCAGATCTCCGCCCACAGAAGCCCCTCTCTCCTCACAGTGCTGTACTACAATTTTCTAATTCCTTGTACAAGCTGCCGGATGACATCAGATTATTAGATCATTGACATATATGTATTTATTCCGTTATTTATTCTGTAACACAGTCGAATAATTTGTTTCAGTGTTTGTTTCTAACTTCAGGTCCGAGCATACCTTATTTATATATCTACGTATACGGTACTGAATACATTCCCACTTTGTCTGCTACGCTATCTTGATGCGCAGGCCGAGGTCATTCTTTCATTGAACAGAGTATAAATAAAAATCTTATGTATACACAATTATTATATATACACAATTATTATGATACAATTTTATTATCAATTTTATGCTTAAAAATAAATGTATTGCATTAAAATATGGGAAAAAGGACCCCGCACAAAACTTATGGAAAATGGTTTTCGGTCAAATTGGCTGAAATTTTAATATGTTATAGTTTTCGCCATGCTGATAAAAAGTTATCATTTCACCAAGTCCCAAAAGTCAATATTTTCCAAGATATAAAGGGTCAAAGTAGTGAAGTATGGTCATTCGTAGTAGTAAGACGTATGTTATAAGTATAAGTGATACATTGATATTTATTCACGAAATAAATAAAAATCGATTTTTACATGTATATATGTACAGGGTGTCCCAGACTAACCGGAAAATATTACATGAATAGGTAGAGCGAACTGAACTGAGTCAAAAATTACAAAACGGTAGAGGACTTTTCGACTCAGTTCAGTCCGCTCTACCTGTTCATGTAATATTTTCCGGTTAGTCTGGAACACCACAGGGTGTCATTAACCGATTAAATCACCTATCTACAGCAGGTAGAGTAGATCGAATTAAGTCGAAAAGTCTTATACCATTTTGCAGTTTACGCAATATTTAACGAGATATTAGACCTTAAATATAACCAAATAAACGCGTTCGTCCGGCCTACTACTACCGAATATCCGCCATCGTTAGCTTGGCGCGCGGGGAATGGGAAACGCCTCGCGCCGCGCACACCACCGCAAGCCTCTAAACTCTGACGACACGCGAAATGATTTTTATTTATTTCGCGAATAAATATCAATGTATCACTTATACTTATAACATACGTCTTACTACTGCGGATGACCATATTTCACTACTTTGACCCTTTATATCTTGGGAAATATTGACTTTTGGGACTTGGTGCAATGATAACTTTTTATCAGCATGGCGAAAACTATAACATATTAAAATTTCAGCCAATTTGACCGAAAACCATTTTCCATAAGTTTTGTGCGGGGTCCTTTATACGTATTATGTTTGCACTCTATAGATTAAATTTTGAAATAATATAAATATAATAAAACAAATAAAACAAATCGTACTAGTAGGTTGAATACTGAGCTTTTCCATTCCTCTACCTATTTGTCCAACTCCTGTACTATCGCCTTTTTCACCAACACGTTGTATTACACCCCGTCCGGTACTCTGATAAAAAAATTTAGATTAAGAAATAAGTTATTATTATTAAATTGCATATGTGTACATACACTATGCCAAAAAATTAAGAGATTGCCTATTCTGCCTCCAAAAATAAGCAATTTTCTTATTATTTTTTCGATAGAGACTTTTTGTTTGTAAATTATACTTAAGTGAAAAAAATTAAATGATTGACCTGTTATCACTCAATTTAATATTTCCGAGAAACATCAAAAGCATTGTGATCTTAATGCAATTTACATCTTTTACATTTGAAGCAATGACTTTGAGCAGAACAATATTCACTTGATTCTATTGTAACAGACCCATCACGCATTTTGTGGAAGTTTCACAATCAGATTTATGCTTCTTTATGTATCATGTATGATAAATATATAAATGAGATACACTGTAAACAGGAAATTTAGATCTTTCGATTAATTTTCTTGAAGAATATACAGTTCTATTCTATGAACAAAGTAAAAGGACATTTTATGCTTCCACAATGAATAATTTTTAATTTACCAATTACCAATAAACGGATTAGAACTCAACACTAACCGAGTTGACTCTCATTTGCCTGTTCTTGAACACTTTACATTCGTTTTTTTAAAGAGTCCGCGCGCGCGTAAGATTACATTTTATTGATATTAGAATAAATTATCAGAGTTATTTAGAGTTTTAATTGTAATTTGACTCTTACTACGCCCTTGTTTAACTTATTATTCATTAACTAAGCCAAGAACTCCGTGTTGATGGTGGCAACACCAAATTAGTCGGCGGCTTGGCAAAATTGATAATCACACACGCACGCACACAAGTACAAGCCTATGTTCATATGCTTGCGGGCCAAGGGCCGAAGGCGAGCACACGGACATGAGTTCGTACTTGTGTACGTGTTATAGCACGGATAAACTAATAGTGAAAAAAGATGTTTTGAACGAAATTTTGTATTGCCTGCCATTTCCATATTATATATAATTGTAAAAATGTGACTTATGAGATACTTATGAGTCTTAAAAATGAGCAGACATTACACTTATCTTGGAATTTTATACATAAAAAGTGTATTTTTCATTCGTTTCAACAGTTGTTAAATCATGTGTTTCCTGCCGAATATAGGCTCACTTTACGTGCCTTTTACTACCGTTTACTGACTATCAAAGGAGTAAAATATAGTTTCTGCCCATTCTTACAAATGTTGTAAAGTGATCTCGTCGTTAAGATTTATCCAAATTGTCTTTATTGAAAAATAGGACGTAACAAAAATGAACGTGTCATTCTCGCTTATAACGTCATGATTCTAACATGGTCGCCGCGACTACTTAGGAGCCTTAGGGCTACGCAGAATAAAAGTAACAGGGAACAGAGAATAAGAATTTCAACCATTAGAAACTATGTATTTCACGGTACATGATTTTTGAAGCGTTGAAAATCTTATTCTCTATTCTCCGTTGATTTTAAGGTCATAGCAGATGAGAATCAACAAATCATAATCCTTCTTTTTCTCTCACTTCACGAAAGAGAAGCATTTTGACTGGTTGATTCTCTTATGCAAAAGTGTGTGCTACGGCCATTATTCTGCGCAGTCCTTTAACTTTTTTTTTTTTTTTCTTCCAGTTACATCTGTAATTTAACTTCGAGGAAAGATCGTCCGCCAAACTTTAAACCGAAATAACTCGTCTAATATGTAAAATACTCTTGTCATATCATACATCGATGTATTCATTAAAACGAACGCTAAAACCTTTATGAATTGTATCAAAATATTTTATTGTACAAAAATGATGCACATCCCTCAGTTCTCTAGTTTTTTTTTCCAGAAATATTTAATTAGAGCCGTTTAATTTGATATTAATATATTTACTAAGTCTATAGATTGAAAAGGTCTAACTAGTTTACGAAATAAAAATGGGCGGTCATTTATATGATAACATGCTTTACATATATAATCATTAATATATATAATTTACACTCTATATCAGCCTTGCTGCATACAGATATAAAAAGTATTCAAAATATTAAATATAAAACAATAGTTACAAGTCGATGGCCAATACGAGTCTAATGCGCGTTATGCGAATAACTTGGTTAACACAGCGACCGCCATCTCAAATCTGGTGGAGGTTACTCAGGGTTACGACCTCGACACACATATCAAAGTCTAAGTCAGAAGTGGCTCTCTCTCTTGTATATATTTACTTTATATTTTAAAATTTGATTAATTACATGTATAATTGTACATCAAATTTGTATTGACCATCAAATAAATTTACCATTCTTGCACTTGCGTTTCACTATTTAACTTTAAACCAACAGCATACACAGAGGGTGTCGTTTTGATATTTACAGGACTGTAAGCATTAATTAACGACTTAATTCGAAATTTTTTAATAGTTCATGCTCAAATTATAGCGATTCGAAAACGAATCGAATCAAATCTTACTTGATTCGATTTGTATTCAAATAGTTCGCATATCTCTACAGTCTATTTCACAAGAGCGTACAAACTGTTTCTCCTAAAAAAAAAAAAAAAAAATTGTTAAAAATTTGATTTGGATCTATTAATAAATTCAATAAACTAAAATGCGTTTACTTAGTAAGTTGTCTAATCTTCTTTATTATAGAATATGACCTGGCAGCGTTGGGACATACTTTCTGTAAGATTTTCAGCCATTGTCTTAGGAAGAGAGAGATTCCTAGATTTCCAGATTTTTCATATATGACGAAAAAAACTATTTTAAATTAAAAACCTTTTCCTTGAGTTTAATTCTCACGCTCACACGTTTTTGATAGGATTGGCATCAAGGAAGGCCAATCCATTGTAGTGACGTCATTTTCACATTTCTACTCCGTACACGTTCACGACTTCAGTGTTTTGAGTCGTTGTCAGTGAACCTTTCTTGAAGCACCTCTTTGAGCAGACTTCAATAAATACTTATGATAAATTATGTTCATTTTTTGTGCATTTATATTGTCCGTGAAAAGATTTAAAGAACCAAATCTCTGTTTACAGAAGCATCTCCACACGTGTACTTTCCACTGGGTGTTTTACTGTACGTTGAACAACGGGATCGTAACGAGTCGATCACGCATACCTTCCAGGAATCCATATCCAAAAGAATAATTCATTGGTAAAAATTACATTGGCAAAATTACAGTCAATATTAGCCTTTGCTCACTCCAGTCGTTTTTCGACATGTTTTTTGTTCAAAAAAGGTTTTAACTTTGTGAACCGCCAGTTGTATCAAGCAATCATCGTCTAATAGTATCAAGGCTCACTTCTACAATAAAAGATTCTTCGCTCGCCGTAACGAATACCCAGGATTCTTCTCAAACATCTTGATGATAGCTTTGTCATCTTTTTTCGTCGTTGAGTGCCACATGCCTCGTTCTGGCAGATCGTCAATACTTTTTGTTTCGTTATAACGTTTCATTCACTTCCTAACGAACCTTTTTAACTTTTTCATGTAGCGGCCGGCAACTGCATGACATTTTCGGTCCTTTCGGATGTGTGCAAAGAAACACTGCTTCAAAACTAGCATGTGCAGCACTCATTGTGTTTATTTTGCTCTGTTACAAACAAAACAAGTCATACTATCCATATACAACGATACAACCTCAAAGCATTCTTCCAAACTGTTCAGAGAATCGGAAAAATTGAACTTAACATCTGTGCATTATCTATTAATGAAATGCGGAATCGTATGCTCTTGTGGAATAGTACATAAATATTTCACGACAGCAAATACATAAGGTGAATATCAAGTACGCTAAAAGATTTTATAATTTTTACGAAATTTCACATAATAACAGTGGTTTAAAAAATTTTTGGAAAAAATAAAACGTTTCCTTGAGCAACTTTGACACTCTGCATCTTGGGAAACATTTTGGATATATAGGCTGGGTCTACAACCTTAGACCTCTTGAAGCGAGGTTGTGGACCCAGCCATAGTCATATATAAAGCTTACGTCTTAAATTTGTGAGAAACTGCTTAAATTTTTTTAGAATACTTAGTATCTATCCTGTATAGTACCGATTGTGTAGTAGATTGTCCTGGTCTGCGAATGGCTCCAGTACTCGTTGATGCCTGAGCATGTGGAAGTTGCTGTTGCGGTTCCTGCTGGTGCATGGAACTTGACTGTTTTTGTGATGCTCGTCCATGACTTGCTCTCCCTCTTCCTCCTCCTCCTCCTCTCTGAGACATTTTTATCTAAATGGCTGAAATGTTGGAAAAATTAATAAATAATATTGACAGAAAGAGAAAGTAGAACAAACGCTCAATCTCTAAAAAAAATTAAGAACAAATGTTAAAAAAATTTAAAGATTAAAAAATGTTTCAAGAGAAATAATGTTTATGTGTATTATGTTAAACACCTGTTAATATCGACATAACACATAATAACAATTATACACATATACGGAGCTTTCTAACAAGAGACACAAACGACACGGTGTAACACAGCGAATCATTACTTGTTGTTCACCAACATTAAACAAAGATGAAATGATCACTGTGTTACACAATGCTGCTTGGAAAGCTCCTATAAGCTACGTTCCATTAGTCACTGTAAATACTGAAAATCTATAGTACATTTGAATTCTAAATTTTTATTTGTAGTGAGGAATGGAACATAGTTGTAATGTAATCAGCAGGGATGGGAAAGTTACTTTGTAAAAGTAATTAATTACAGTTACAGTTTTTTTTATCAAAAAGTAATTAATTACCGTTACAAGTTATTGACTCTGAAAAGTAATTCGTTATAGTTACAGTTACTGAAGAAATAACTTTAAGTTACTTTTTCATCAGAATTTTCATTAGTAGCATCAATACTAGGGCTGCATTCAGAAACGTTACCCAACTATCTTCGTGTATCGTTTTACTCTTGTTTTTCACCTAATATTAAACAAGAATGATACACAGGGTCATCAGAGTAATTAGGACAATTAAAAAAAAGAATGGTTTACATGTTATAAAAATTGTATTGAAGAAGAAAATTGTATGGTAAAAACGTTTTTCGTTAAAGTAATATAAATGAATATGAAATAGCACATATACAATGTTTTCTTGCAAACAATATTCTTTTTACATTCAGCTAAAAGTTGCAAATAAATTCTATAAACTCTTTAATTAATTTCTTTTTTCTGATTAATCAAATGTTTCAAGGCATTTGTAGCACCAAATGGACACTATCGCACACTAAATTGATAAATAAGAATTTGAATATATGTATATAAACTATAAAAAAGTAACTATTAAATTAGTTACTAGTTACTCAAAAAATGTAAGTAAGTTAAGTTATAGTTACAGATGGAAAAAAGTAACGAAGTTAAGTTACAGTTACTGAAAAAAAGTAACTCCAACTGTAACTTCGTTACAAAAGTAACGAGTTACTTCCCATCCCTGGGGAAAACTTTATGTTTGGGAAGAAAAGGAGAATATTTAGGAATATAATTACAATATCAATTTTTTGAAAAAACAATACAATTATTTTCACAGTTTGATATTTATATTTGGTAAGATAGCTGTAGTAAGATAGAGGCGCGAGATATTTTTGACTACATTTATATGTATACTATACATGTATAGTGTATACTATACACAATACGTGTATATAATAAATATGTGTGTATACAGAGTGTATACTAAGTATACGAAAAGATTTTAAGGGAGATTGCTCGCACAAATTTAAGATAAAAACTTTTATATTTTCCCAAACGATTTAGTTTAAAAAAAAATATAGAATGTCAAAAAATCTTGTTTTTTCCGAAAATTTTAAAATCCATTCGAGTTACTTTGATAAAAATTTAAACATATACAAAATTTCATTAATATAATTGGAAAGTTTTCAAAATTTTTAGAAAAAACGAAATTTTTCCCAGCTTTGAACACTTTGTATCATTGAACCTAAGTAGTTTTGGACATATTGATATATGAAGGTTTTATCTTGAATTTGTGATATACTTTTGAACAGAAATCACCTCTTAAAATCTTGTAGCGTACTTAGTATACATCCAGTATATAAAATCAAATATATTGTAATAATTTTACCAAGTTGTGTCAAACATTAAATATCATTGGAATATTAATTTTTGAATTACAATATCAACAATTTCGGTTTTATCTTTCATAGTTGCTCGCTGAATAAAGCTGCATAGAAGCCTCTTCGATTTTGTTTTCGGTCCAGGAACAGGTAGCATAGAAAATTTCGTTTGGGAAGAGAGGGGCTATTTCCTATTGGGCTACATATTATTCCTACTCCAGTTCCAATTATAAATTACTCTATCTTTATTGTTCGATATTTTTCGTTCTCTTCTTCTAAAGCTAATACTTGTTTTTCCATCCCCAAATTATAGCGACGAATTCTGTAATCTCGAAACAAGCTTTCCAAAAAGAGACACAGATAATGTAATATAGTGAATCATTACATCCCTGTTGAATAAAGATAATTATTGTGTCACACAGTTATTTGTTGGAAAGCTCCAGAGATGAAACTTATAAAAGTGAGCATATTTAGAATGTTTATAATTTTATTGGTAAATACCTGATAAATTTGCTTACTTTCATAATCTTTATCTCATTTCAGAGATCTGTTTTTATTCTTATACTAGACTACACTAACACTCTTTCTTTCTTCAAACATGAAATATATACTTATATTTCGTTCTAAGTTCCAAAAGTATATATTATTTCAGCCACAAAAAACAGATTTCAAGTTACAGAATTGACCTCATAAACTAGTATAATAAATTAAAGTGAGGACTGCAGTCAAATTCTCACTACAAGTACTTTGAAATGTTTAGTTGATCAATCAAAAGAATTTTATAAATCAATCAATCAAAAAACGGTTTAAAGTATTTTGTAACATCGCGTTGACCTATAATTTGTTCATTCTAATGTATTGCACTAGTTCAGAATTAAATCTAAATTCTTTGGAAAAGAATAGATCTAGAATTATGGCTATGTTTGAATGCTTTCAGCACTTCTACCTTTGTTTTATGTCTAATGAATAATAAAGACAAAATAATTATAACTACTTAAAATATGTAAATGACCAAAAATTTGTCCGTTTTTTATTGTAAGACAAATTTCCCAGCATGCTAATTGGCTGTAAGCAAAGATATTCTCATATCTATAGTCAATCAACAGGTTGTCATACATGTTTGACAAATACAGATAAATGTAATTATAGATCAATTTTCTATTTCTGCAATAGACTATTCTAAAACTCTTACTTTCAACAAATATCGAACATATACCTATCTCAATTTAGAAGTTCCAAAAGTATATACTAGTTTAGCCACAGGAAACAGACCCCTAATGCAATACTAGCCTCAAGGTTTTATGTGAAAAACTTCCAACAGAGGTTATCCGATTCCAACAAGTTCGAACATGTATCATATAAACAGACTACAATGGCGTAAGCATAAAAAATAAAGACTCAGGTAAGAAAAGCTTAATCTGTAGATCATATTACGATATTACATATCAATAAAATTAAACGTAAGACACACAATTTTACAATATATAAAATCGGCCACAGGAAACAGACCCCTAATGCAATACTAGTCTCAAGGTTTTATCATGCGGAAAATTTCCAATAGAGGTTATATCCGATAACGGCTTCCACAAGTTCGGACATGTATCACATAAACAGACTGCAATGGCGTAAGCATTTAATAAGATTTCAAAAATGACGATTCAGACAAGAAAAGCATAAAACAATAAGCATAAAAAATGAAAATTCAGGCAAGAAAAGCTTAATCTGTAGGTCATATTACGATGTTACATGTCCATAAAATTAAATGTAAAAGAGTAAACACAAAATTTTACAATATATAAAAAATTATATAAAGCCGAGAACAAAACTGTTTCATAAAAATAAATTAGAGATCTAGAATCAATAAATCCAGTAATTAGGTTATGTATTGGAGACCGAGGATTGCAAAAACTGAAGACTGAAAAAAGTCAAAATTCAGTCATAATTAACGTAATTTTTGTTCCGATCAAATGAATTCTGATCTACAATTCGCAATTTTCAATCTTATGAAAATTATATACTTTTCATATTAATCGGCACACTTATATTATGCAATGTATTCAAAATAAAACAATCACTTTTTGTGAAAGAAGGCCCGGCAGCGACCAGAATCCCTCGCTTATTTTTTACGTACATGTCTATACAAGCGTCCAATCGTGTCAGCAGTAAAAAAGATATCTGTGCTCTCCTTGAAATTATTACTCCTCAAATGTACTTGCGTCTCACGTTTTACTTTTCTTAAACATCTACTATTTTTATGTATAACACAATGTACGCACATAACATACGAATGTCTCATATTAGTGTGTATATCGCGCGTGATTTATTTAGAAATTTTTTATACTCTCCAACAGCCCTATGATAGAAGTATTGATATTCGCTCCCGCGCTTCGTTTTGTTTGTTCCATAAAAATCATAAGATTGAGCAAAAATTAAACACGTTTGCATTATCTAACTCGATGAGAAAAAGTATATAATTGATATCTTTCGACCGGGTAATAATCTCAACTCTGTTGCATCTGTATAATATCGAATTACATAGAACGTATTAACAGAAATTATAAACGTGCATATAAATCATTGAACGAGATAAAACAGAATATATCTCTTACTTGTCGAAAGCTTCCTCTTTTTAATGCTTCCTCGTATGACGAACTTCTCGTTCTCAAATATTTCCAATACCGGCAACCAAAATGCAACATACAATGGCCAAGAGCAAATGAACTCAGGTCGTCAGGTCAATCATTCCGAAATTTTCGAGAGGGGTGTGTTTTATGAGAGAGATATCCTGATTGATACAAACCTACAGGCATACGTCACATAAGACGATAGCCAATGAAGCATGACGCTAAGTATCACGTGACTTTCAAAAGCACAAGTCTCAACCATGCGGAAGGCTGTTAAGCTAATTTTTTTTGGAATGCACAGGACACAGCGATATTACAACAAGCCTAAACTCACCAACTACAGGCACGCGACAAAATAAAGTTACAAGAAAGACGGTCTAAGTGATAATTCAATGATAACGTTTGTCGAAGAAATATCTCAAGCGACCAATAGGAACGTTTGGCACGAATTATGTCGAAGGATGCGCACCATTTGGTGTCGCAACATTTTCATTGTATAGGTAAAGGTACCTTTAGGGTCTGCGCACAATGGAGGAACA